ATGTATGTTTATATATATTTTTTGAGACAGGGTCTTGCTCACATATATATATATATATATGTAAAATAAAATGAAATCCTGCAAAGCTCTTAGAAGAGTGAAGGATACTTGATATGCCATGTAGACTACTGCATACATTCATATTTAAAGACAATAATCCGATTAGCAAAGGACAGATGGTATTCACTGGCAATTATCTGTGGAATGTCATAGAGCATTTGAAGCACTGTAAAATTATCATTTAAAATATCTTAAATGTATAGTTACATATCACAAATTTATCTCCTTCAATTTATTCTACTGTGGGGAGATGGACCACCAAAAAAAAAAAAAAAAAAAAAACACGTCAAGGAAATCCTAGAGGAGTATGGATTTCTCCCATTTGTCTTGGGAATCCCTAGTGTCTGAAAGGCCTGAACAGTCGACTCCACCCTGGGCGGGTGTATCTGCACACCTACAGACGCACAGCCCATGCCTGCATCATTCCTGTAGCCTCAGCATTTTGCTTAGCCTCCTGTGATTTTGACGCTGAGAAAAGGGGAGTTTTGTTTCCCTCATCTCATATAATCCTGACAGCTTCAGCACTGTCTGCTATGTTCTCTTTTCTCTCCAGAACCGTCTGGAGTTTCAGTGGTTTAAATCCTGATATATGGTGGGGCACAAAACGAGACGCAACTCCAACCAATGTGCACGCAGATTCCACACGTGACTCTGGCCTAGGGAGGGCGAACCAATCCTCCTTACCTTTATCATAGATTTCCTTGAGGACTCCTCGCTTTATCAGCTCTTCTCTGCTTTGCCTCATAGATATTTTCCTTTCCAGGGCTACAAACAAAAGACAGAGAGGCGGACGTGAGTCGGCAAAGAAGCTGTCTTCTAAAGGATCCCATGTTAAATATGGCAATGCAATGTATAGGCAATGTTATATCACACAATGTAACGTACACTGTGTAAAGCACAATGTAAGTGAGCTAATGAGGCATACCAGTTAATATGTTTTGATACTATCATAATAAACCTTTTCATCAGATTATATCATTTAAGCTTCCAAATAATCTTCCAATTACTACCTATGAGAGGTAGGCATTTCTTAATTAATTGAACCCCAATTTATGGTTGAACCTGTAGTACAGGAGAGCTCAACAACTTGTCAGAGGCTCATGGCTACTGAGTAAAGGAACTGGGATTGAGTGCCAGAAATGCCACCTCAGATGAAAGTCTTACTGCACTTTATTGAGCATGGCACTTCCTCCAAGGAGGGACTGCTGTCTCAGTGATCCAGTTCATAGACATCACGCCTCACTGATGATTTCGTTGCTTCCCAACTATTTTTAAAAGCGATGTGAAAATATCTTCAGAGAAGCTCCTGGTGTGGCCTCCCAGGGTCTGGGGGCAATACTGTCTAAGGGTAGGGGTGGCTTCCATGGCACGGCCCTCTACTGTCTTTTTCTCTTAGGCTCTAGGCTGGAGCAGCCAAGTGGCGAAGGAACTATTCAGTTACCCAGTGCGCCTCTGCCATGGCCCAGCTACGCACCTAGGTCAAGTGCTTGGGAAGACGGTGGTGGGGCTGGAGGAGGAAAGAGGGAACGGTGGGCATACTGAAGGGCAAATCAAGTAGAAACAGCCCAGGAGTGGGGAAGTGAGGGGCTGCATAAGAAGAGGCAGGTCTGTGGCTTGAAGGAGGGACATGGTGAACCTGGGGAGGAATGAAGGCTATTCCAACAGCTGATGCAATCTCTGGTACACACTGACTCAACCTCCGCAGTCTTTGGAAACATATTCAGGGGAAAATCATTAGCTATAAAATAAGGAAACTATTTTATGCAGACAAATTCAGATAGAGACTAATTAAACACACACTGCCCTCAACAGAATGTAGTCCAAAGAATATGAATAAGAACTAGAAACTCTGTCACCCCCTAGCTATGGGACATGAGTGAAGAAACCTCAGGCAAGTCACTTTGCCACACCGGGAAACCACTGATGACTCAGCCCAGCCATTCCAATTTCACAGGTCCAGGGTGGGACTAGGACATCTCCATTGTGATTAAAAAAAAAAAAAAAAAAAAAAGCTCTCTCTGGGTTATTCTCAGGCATGGGGCTTGGCTGAGAATCACTAATTATATATTTTGGAACTTACTATTTTAAAAATGTTATGTTCTAGCTCCCTCTCTTAAATTATAATGAATTAAGTGGTATGAGGGAGAAAAATAAATGTTAGGTTAGGATGCTCTCACATAGAGCTGAGTATCAGGAGAACATATTAATTCTAAAATAGAGACATAAATCTGTACCCACAGAAGTGAGGGTAGGAGGGTTGGATAGGAGGACAAGGGAAAAGCTGGGTGCAGAAAACATAGAAACAGTTTGTTTGGGGGTTCAGGAGTTTTATGAACCATACCAGATGGCATGATATGGTGGCAGGAAGGCAGAAAGATGTCCTGTTAGCAGAAGAGAACTTGGGGAAGGGCTGGAGAAGGGATAGGGCATGCCATTAGGTTAGAAAGTTCTGCCTGAATTGAAAAGATCTGCTAAGCAGCTGGACGTGGTGGCTCATGCCTGTCATCCCAGCACTTTGGGAGGCTGAGGCAGGCAGATCATCTGAGGTCAGGAGTTCGAGGCCAGCCTGGTCAACATGGTGAAACCCTGTCTTTACAAAAAATGCAAAAATTAGTCGGGCATGGTGGGACATGCCTGTAGTCCCAGCTATTCTGGAGGCTGAGACAGGAGAATCGCTTGAACCTGGGAGGTGGAGGTTGCAGTCAGTGAGATTGTACCATTGCACTTCAGCCTGGGCGACCCAGCGAGACTGACTCAAAAAAAAAAAAAAGTAAGAAAGAAAAAAGAAAAAGAGAAAGGAAAAGATCTGCTAAGTAGCACAGTGGGAGAAAACTGGATAGGTAAGGTCAAGCAGGGGGTTTTTAAATATGGGGTTATAGATATTTTGGTGACATAAAGCCACCTGAATGTAAAGAGATGCTTTCCCCTTCTATGCTTAACCACATAAATAAAGCAGATTTCTCCTAAATAAAATGAGTTTTGCAGGTGCTTTTCTAAACCACAGATAAAAGTGGACAGACTTGGTCTACAGCATGTAAGGAAGATGTGCAATGAGGTGAGCAGAACCCTGTTCTTGGAGGTCCAAGGCCCCCAGCTATTAGGAGCCCCGTGGATGTTCTCAGGCTAAGCACAGCCATCTGGACATCAGCTGCCACTCAACTGTGAACCTGCTGTCCACGGTCAAAGGCTCTGACTGGGGCTGGAGATAATGGTGAGCAGAGACCACTGTTGCTGTCAGAGTCTAGACTCATGTGACATTCAGACCATCATCAAATGATATGACTTAATGTATGATCACAAGCTGAGATAAGTCCTCCTTAAGGAAAGGGACAAGTTCTTATCAGAGAATATGATAAATATTGTCCCTGAGTAAGGTGTTGGAAAAGACTTCTCTGAAGAAGAGATCTTTGAGCTGAGGGGGGCTGGGTAGGGGCTGAGGGAAATGCTCCAGATAGAGCAGCGTGCTCTAGATGGAGAAATCACGGTGCCAGGAAGGAATAGATAGAAAGCTGGTGTGGCTGCAGCTGCGAGCATCACGTGGAGAATGTTTGAGTTGGGGTAGGAGGCTGGGCCATGAAAGGCCTCATGGACCATGTTATTCTAAGAGCAATGGGAAGAAATGGTCAGCTCTGCGGATATGAAAGAGGAACATTCACGTTAGTATAGAGAATGGATTGGAAAGAGGCCAATGACTAGGTGATGACAGGCATCCAGGCAGGGGATGATGGCAGCTGAGACTAAGATGCTGACGACAGTGACAAAAGATGCACCCAAGACACATAAAGGTGGCAATGTAGGCACAACTACATATTAAAGGTTGGACAGGGATATGCAGAAGAGAGACAGGCCAGGGAGGATGCCCTGTTCCTGATCTGCGTAACTCCATGGACAGTGCTGTCCATGACTAAGGCAGGGATGAGAATCGGGAGCAGGAGGGGTGGGTGGAGGATGCATGTCGAGTTCAATGCTAGCCACATCCAAGAGGAGATGTTACCAAGCATGTGCTAGGGAAATGCGGTTGGATACTTTATAAACAGACATGAGAAGTCAAATGAGAACGTGTTACGTGGTACAGACGATGCCAGATGCTTTCATGCACCAGTGCTTCTCAAACTTTTCCATGGAAACATTCCTTACGGCAAAAGGAGAATACTAGGGGCTCCAAGGGTAGGACTCAAAATTGCCCATGCCAAGCATGCCATTTCTTTAATGTACTAAGTTTTCTTTAAAAGGAAATGTAGACGTCACATAATGTACCTGCTTTAATTTACCTAAGAAAATACTCCTGCTCCATCACCACCAACTTTCAAGTTAAAGTGACATGCTGGAAAGAGATGGCTTATTTTTCTACAGCTTCGTCCATTCCTGTTTTAGAACCCTGAGCCCACAGCAAATGCACAGATCATTTTGAGGAGGGTGAAAAATTATGTTGCTTCACTTAATCTTCCCCACAATCATTCCCATTTCACGATGAGGTACCTGAGGCCCAGCAAAATGAACTTGGTCAGAGTCCCACACCCACGGCAGTAAGTGGAAGGGCAGAAAGAGATTGTAATAACTCCTCCCTTTTTCTTCATGGTGCTGTATTGCTGTGAGAATGATTATAATGTATGTGAAAACAGCAAGGCTCTAAACACCAAAGGCAATCTGATTGTTAGTTTACTTGGGGTTGAAAGTCAAGGTTAAGTGACATAATTCCACTTTATTCTCAGGAGCTTCTTCCTTGTAAGAAACTCTCCACTTCTTACCATCTCTCTTAACAAGGTATGCACAATGCCTCTCTTCTGGTCTTACTTTCAGCAGCTCTTCCAAAATCAGAGCTAAGTTTAAGTGAGGTCAAAGTGTTCTGCAGCAGACAGGCGTATGCAAACCTTCCCCTGACGTCTGAGGAAGCCGAGAGGACAAAGAGAGGCTGCCAAATTCAGCTTCTGAATTTATAGTAGGGACTCATGAACAGAAGCCATGACTGTGTCTTGGGCAGCGGTGAGATGAGATAGTGGATTCCCAGGCCATTCTTCTTTCAGACCCAGGGCTTATACACCATATGGAAAGGGTCTACATGATTGAAAACAGTGTTTAGGACAACCGAAGCCTGGTAATATCAAGGCTGCTTTAACCTAAGGGCAGCACTTATGGTAAGTACATGCTCTTACACAAAGAACAGCAGGTACACTGGAAATCTCAGAGGGCTTCTAAGACCTGGGGTTAATCAGAAGCCAGCATGGTGGATTAGCATCCAAGATGGAGTTGCTTTAACTTCTACACTGGGACAAGCTTACCACTGCTCCAGGAAGTAAAATACTGTAGGCTGTCTGGTGCAAAGGGACAACCAGTGGACCTAGTATATGACTGACCCATAAAACACTGGCGAAAATGGGGTTACTAGGGGAAAGAAGAAAAATACAATGGTTTCCTTTTCACCAACCAGGGGTAGGGTCTCACCCTCCTTCCTTGATAATTTTGACTTTGGAGAGAACAAACATGAAAAAGGAAGAAAAAAGAAGAAATTATGAAAAGTTAAATAATTTAGAAGAGGAGGAGGGAGGCATTGGGAAAGAGAGAAGCTGTGATGTGTAGTGTACCAGCCCAACGGATGGGAGGGATAAGATAAATCAGCTAACACAAACCGAGCTGTGAGGGGGAGCTGACTGCCTGGGAGTGTTTGGTGTCTGGAGGCAGAAAATCAAAGTGAACAGAACAAAGCAATCCATCCCTTTAGGCAAAAACCTGTATTGCCAGAGGTACGGGAAAAGCATGAGAGCAGA